GAATATTTATGTAGACTGGCCCAGCTTCACTGAAGTAGTTTTGATGATGTAGAAATGTATTTCATTAGCACAGGAAAGTTAATCTGTAATAAATATTGACTTTCTTGTGGTCCTTATGTGCAACTGTACAGGTTTCCTACCGCTGTTTTTAGTAAAATGTGATCTCTGGACCTGCTTTCAGATACTGTCATTCCTTGTGCCTCAACAAAACATTTGAGAGTTGTAAATGGAATCCCGACACAAACTAACGAAGGATGGGTGGTTAGTTTGTCATACAGGTAACTATCTCTTTGATTAGAAAGGCAATACATCTACCAGGATAGTTGTTTAGGAACTGTAGAAAATGTTGACCTTAATAAGAATACTTCTAGATTGCACTAAAATCCTGTAAAAGAAGAAAATCAGCATTCCTGGAATATCAGGTGTTTCCATACTATTCACTCTGTCAGTGAAATATTTATGTTTTCATTATCAGTAATTTACACACACATGAGCTTGTAAAGCCTTCATAGCATTCTGCTCTTTTGATTAGCTACTGCAGACCTTTTCATAGCATTGGCTTAGCAACCAATATTAAACCGTTTATTTTAGAGATTGTTACCAAAAAGAATGAGTTTCATATCAATATAGTCACTTAAACAGCAGTGTATTTAGTTGTTAAGTCTTGAATTCAGTATTTATACCTGTGCCAAATGTAGCTTTCTGATCATGTCATTGCATACAATTGAAATGGGTACTGTATTAAAAAAAAATAATAGGAGTTATAAGGAAATCTTTTCATTCTGTAAAACAAGACCCCAACATATATAGCTGGAAGTGTGTATTACATTTTGGCAGATCTTACTTTGCTACCGTGTGAAAGCCAGAACACAGAATTACTGTTTCCTGTGTTCATTACTCTGGTTCATAACTCATCAGCTGGAAATGTGAATCATTAATGTATAACATGAGATATATCTTATGCATCAGCCCTGTATCTTCTACCATGAAAAAAAAGAGTTTTTCAAAAAAGTCTTTTTTGTCTGCTGGTACAGACTAAAGTACAGCTCAATTTAATTAGCTTATGATTCATCATCTCTTTTAAAATCATGTTGTAAAATAGGTCTTAAATGAAATACTGGAGTAAAGGAGAAGATAAAAAGCTTGTTTTCTATATCGCCGCATTACTAGAGAAATTCCAAGGGTCCTTCCCATCCTTGGTAATCTTTGTGTTTTATGAGCTTCAGTCCAAGCTAGACCTTTCTGGAAGCCTAGCAAATGGTCCAGAAATACATTTCTAGAGGAACAGCACTCTATTATCACTCTAGAATAAATAACCAGATAGATGAACTGAATCACTCTCTGGAAAAGTTTATCTTTCCACTATTTTTAAAGCAGCCTTGATGTCCTAGGAACTTTTAGATGGGTAAGGTGTATTGTATCTGGGTGCCTAAAATTTAAATAGCTAATGTTAAGATAGTTGAACCCGGATTTTGTGCTATGCAACAAAAATCCATTAAGCAGATGAGTACTTAAATGATTGCAGATTCTTTTATGAAAAAGGGATTCCTGGAATACTCTAGCAGCAAAATATATTTTAAAGTATTACACATGGGCATAAAAATGTATTTTATTTTGTATTGTTACCAAGGAAGCAAACGGAATGTTTCCTGAAACGAAATGTTCATGACTTCAGGACTTTCTGCAAAAAAACTAACTGTACATCTCAAGTTGGAATTGCCATGTCTGAATGGTAAAGGTGCAGTGATACTTAGAAACTTATATTCATATTTGCAACAAAGGTTCACCTCAAAATGTCAAATTAATCAATGACATTTTTTCTTATATATCTGATCCAGTTTCTTTTGTCAGATATATTTAAGCATATTTGGATGAATTTCATCTATTTCATGGAATCAGCTCTGGACTTGTGCCACATTTAAATAAGAAGTTTAACCTTCCTATGTATTCTAGTCAGTCTTCTAAAGTAGCTGATACAATCTCATAAATTCCTTTTGCTAATTACTGATGCAAACATAATATGCAAGAACACATTTATACTCCCGATTGTGACATTTTTATAATAAAACTGGGCATAATCTATATTTTAAAAAGAATCCAGCCTTTTGGACCAGATAATTCGTTCCTCAACCAAAATACAATTAAAAAAAAAAAAGGAGGCAAGCATCTGTGTTGCTTTGCTGTCTTTGAACTCCATATAGAGTCTGGGCTTCTTCCAGCAGTTCCTTGCAAAGCTTTGAACATTTGTGTGATTTGAATTTACAAATTGTGAGATTTTAAGCTTTTCCTAAATTGCTGACAATTCTGATTCACTTTTCAAAGAGCTGCAGAAAATAAATGTGACTTTGGAGGCACAGAGAAGGAAACTAATTAATCTGCATTCCACAGTTTCTTTATTTTTGAAAGAACTGTCATGCTTAATTGCTTTAATTTTACTTGATATATTATGCTTCAGGTTTTCTATAATCACATGTAGGATGTCATACACTGCAGATTGTTTCCAACTGAAGTATGTGGGGACAGAATTCTCATAAGGCTGGTAATCAAATAGGAACTCTCCACCTTGAGGTCAATTTTTTGAATAATACCTACATGAATAATGACCAAGTATTGTTTACATCTGGTGACAGTTTGGGGACTTGCTTGAATATTTCGGTCTAGGTTCCTATTACAAAGAATTAGCTTGCCTTTTTATTTTTTAACTTAGATCCTTTATTACAAATTCAGCTTTGAAACCACTAAATGAAGAGTAACTGAATTTCTCACACATTGGAGTATATATACACATTGGAGTAAATCTCTGCAAAGTCATGCAGCTGTAAATGTTGAAACTGTAAAGCAAAGGGACAGAGACATGTTTTCGCAGGCCACTGCTTACCAGCAAAAATATGTGGGGAGTAAAAGTACTCTTTAAAGTTTTTTGACTGTAGAAACTATTAATTTTCTAATTTTTTTTTTCCTCAGGAATAAACATATTTGTGGAGGTACTTTGATAAAGGAAGAGTGGGTTTTAACAGCAAGGCAGTGTTTCCCTTCTCGGTACAGTAGTCTGTGGCTTTCAATATTGAAATACATCTATTTTTGGGAACTTACCAGTACAGTACTTCTTCATCTTAAATGCATCATTTTTCCCTCATGTTTGGCTTTAACACTGTTTTTCTGATGTAAAAGTCCTGTGAGACTTTGATATTTTCTATTATTATTGTTGTTAATCTAAAAGAGCTCTGGCTATTTTACTTAGAGGTATAAATATCTTTTCCAAGTATGATGCTTAGACAATTGCCTCTTTATTAAAATAACGCCATGCTTCTGCTTAACTGGACAGAATAAAATAGAAAACTTGGGCAAGTCTCAGGTCATTCAAAGTTTCATACTGTTCAAGGACCTAAATGTTTGGATACTATTAGGAAACAAAAATTAGATTTTATTCACAGTTAAAGATAAAATTATGTGGTGGCTTCAGACCAATAACTTTCATCCGAGCATGTTGATTTTGGAATAGCAGTTGGCAGCATAAACTCATTTCTGGTGAAGAGCATTAGTTAAGATCTTCTAGCATAATCATATTAAGCAAAGATTTTTGAGTTATTTTATTATACACTCAGCAAAATCCTAACCAACTTTGCCTCATGTAGGTACAAAGATTTGAAAGATTACAAAGCCTGGCTTGGAGTCCATAATATCAAAGGAAAAGGAGAGGAGAAGCATAAACAAGTTCTGAATATCTCCCAGTTGGTATATGGCCCTGCAGGGTCAGATCTGGTCCTACTGAAACTTAGCAGGTTAGTAGCTGTTACGGCCAAGTCCAGGATTTTCAGCTGATGAATGAGATTCTTCCTTGACTTGGAAAGTCTGTTTTTTCCTATATTTGATGCTGCAGATGATGTCTCCATGAAGTAAACTTCCAATTGCAAGCAATTTTACTTGATAAATGCAGAAATGCTGGTTTATCTACCTTACTCAGAAAGCAGATGTTACTTCTGAAAAATCATGCTCACATTTTTTCCCAATAACCAAGTTTAGGTTTGTTGGGAGGTTGTATTTAAAAAAAACCCAACAAAACAGCAAACAAACCAACAACCCACATTGTCTAGTATATGTTTTTAATTTACAGAATAAGCACCAGATTGTAACTGTTGTTACAGTTGTGTATATATCAGCTTTCCACTTTCTCCATATTAACAAAACTATGTATTCAAATGAAATACCATCATTACTTGCTTTTAAGAAGAAAACCCGACTTAAAGAGGATAAAAGTGATGACAGCATTTCAAGAAATCTTTTGACAGCTAACAGTTGTAGCACAAAAAATAGGTAGAACAACCCATCATATTCTTCAGAGGTGGAAAAGAAAGGAAAAGGATTGGCAAAGTTTTTAAATACTGTGGTCTGTGATAGTTTTACCATAATTTTTAAGATACATTTTAGAAGGTTATGTAAGATCCATTACATCTACTATTTGTTTTCTCTTTTCAGACCTGCCATATTGACAAATTTTGTAGAAATAATCCGACTACCCATTTCTGGATGTACCATTCCAGAGAAGACCAGTTGCAGTGTTTATGGATGGGGATACACTGGATGTAAGAAACTATTTTTAAAAATTAAATGAATACTTTGGCAGCTTTCTTCCTCTTGTCATTATAGGTGAGGCTGCTGGTATTGCCTGATGCCATGGTTCTCCAACACTTTTGTTATAACATGTAATTTCAGGTTTTTTCTAATTTTGTAAATCTGTGAGCATTTTATCTAAGAACATTTAATATGAAATATTTTCTACTACTCCGTCCTTTGGGGTTTTATTTTTGTTTCAGTGATAGGAGAAACTATTCAAACATTTCAAAGAATGAACTGAAGAAAAATATTGTTCTACAAGTTTAAAAAAATTGGCAGAATTGTTTTTGCACAGTTCTTACACTTTTTTGAAAAATTCTGGTTCATCTACTTAAGCTGTCTCTGTCCATATCCCAGAGCAGGCTGCTCTGTTGAAAAACTAGTATGGAATCACATAATCAAAGACATAATTGACATACAAAAAAGACAGTGAACTAAGGATGCACAGGCAGCCCTACGTCTGGCATTTCCTAACTTTTGAGTACTTGACTTTGCAACCTTACTAATGTTTATTAAACACAGTTTTTTGTGTGAAGTAAATACAAATATGTGGGAGAACAGACATTTATTTAGTCTGGTAAATACTCTATCTGGATAATTATGTGTTGATGATAAAGTTAATAGCTGCCAGTTGACAATAATTACTCCAGTAATTACTGTGCTCAAATGTCATTTTGCCACAGACCCTGAGTAAACAGCAGCAACATACTCGCACTGTTCTGGAAGCAAAGCAGAGACTAGAGTTTAATTCTGAGGCTCTCCTCCTTGTAACCATTACTCCGCATTTCTTTGTGGGTGGCAAGTAATCTGTACCAGCCCTCTCCCAGATGACTGCCTTTGATGTTCCCAGCATGGCCATATTAACCATCCTCTGGGGCAAATGGCTGTCTGGGGGACAGGGAAATCAGGCTAGAGCATGGGGCAGCATCACAGGAAAGCTGAGCTTAAGAGAACTGATAAAGAATTTGCAATATTGTGGAGTTATGTAATACAGTAAACACATAACATCTGTCATCCAAGGACTTTGTATGGTATTTTATGCACTACTTAATATAATCCTCACAGCATTCTAGTTAGGGAAGGAAGAAGCGTTACATCCATTTTTTCAAGAAAACAGGATAATAAGTCAGTGAAGGGCAAGCTTGGCATTTTCTTTTGATGGCTGTGCAGAGAACAGACAGATCCAGGCCCTTTATTTGTCTTTGCAGCTTGTACAGACTTGTCTTTCGACATGTAGAACAAGAGCAAGCTCCACAGGGCTCCTGCTTCCTGACCTTCATACTGATAAATGGAGATTGCACAAAGCTGTGGCTCTGCCCTTGCAGGCGCAAAGTCATTCAGTGTAGCTGAGCCAGCACAGAATGAGAAAAACTCTGCTCTGCTACAGTATTTCTCAAGTCAGACGTCCTTCCCTAGGCCATAGGAAGCACTGTTACACATCAACTACTGTTTAAGGCAGGGAGTAAAATCCTCGCTTCACTGATGGAAGTGACAAGAGTCTCAGGCTCACTTTTTCTGATTTCTGTAATGTGACAGGGAAAGCTGGTTGTGAACTGTAGCATCAACCCAGTTACCTACACCTTTCTTCTAATACAAAGACTTTCTTCATATATTCTCAGAGAACTAGACAGACATACACAAAAAGAATTTCTTGCGAGTCTCATTTGGAGCAAATATTAGATATCCAAATGACAAATGCTTGATAACACTGAGGATGGGCAAAAATGTGAGTACTGGATAGAAAATACCATAACTGAAGTTAACATGAGTAAGTTCATCCAGACTAAATCTTTAATGGTTTTTCTTTTCCCCTAAAATAGAATAAAGTTTTCATTCTCTTTTCTATCCCAGTAATTAACTATGATGGCCTTCTCCGGGTAGCAAATCTGTTTATTTTGGGAAATGAGAAATGTAACCAGTATCTCAAAGGAAAAATCACCGTGAATGAGTCCGAAATCTGTGCTGTGGCTGAAACCATTGGTGCTGGGCCTTGTGAGGTAAATATTACATTGCTTAATACGTTGTTAGGAGCCATCAACCTAGCTACTTCTTTCCCAGAAATAATTTACTAGAGTTCTTAATAATTATTCTCTCTGCATTAAACTTGCATACAGAAGATTATTTTAAGCTTTTGCACTGGAGAACAATTTGTGTTTCTAGTGATCTATTTTCTACCAGAGTTCAGGAAGAGGTTTCGTTGCTTCAATTTCTCCATACCACTACACCAGTAAAGGATTTACATGAATGTTAAATATAATCATATGACTAAATACTTTGCTAGGCTGAGACAAATTTGTGTTCTGTGTAAAGGTAAAGTGGGCTATGTGCTAGTAGCAGCAGTATATTTTGATTCAGTAGAAAGCAAAGGCTCAAGCAAATGTATTTGCCTTATTTAGATGAGGACTTGCATGCAAAATACAAAAAAGTGACTGCTCAAGAGAGTTGATAAAGCTATGAAGGAAGAAGGAAGATCCAAAAATGAACTGAGGTTCAGTATTAGTCAGGACCTCCAGGAAGGCTGGAGCATTTTGTCTCCCTAATCAAGCTTGAGCAATGTATCAGTGAGGATAGGAGAACTACTTTGGTGTAAGTACAGTTTAATACTGTTGTTTTGCTTGGAACTAGTTTTGATGGTGGAGAAAAGACATCTGAGGAGAAATGCTGTAAATATTTTATTATAGGAAGATACAATTTTTTGTGTGAAAAAACTGCCTGGTGAGATGATGTCTAGAGTGAGGGCAGTCATGAGTACTATTATGCATTTAATATCTGGAGTAGAATAGATGGTTTCCTAATACTGATGTTAGCCAAGCAGTGAAATTTCCCCTAACCAGGAGTACTACCAAGCCATGGGGAAACAAGGTCTTCATCAGGTTGAAGCCTCTTTCTTTTATTATCAATATTGCACAGAATAATTTTGTTATTGCAAAGTATTTTCTTCAAAATCAAATATTTAGTCATAAATAAGCTCTTCAACGTGTCAAGGCTTATAAATGAAACATCTGCATGGAAGTCTGCTGGGGATCTTGCACTTTGTTTTCCCCTGCAAGAAGTAATAGACTGAATTAATATTAGCAATCAGTCTTAATCACTGTGTGATTTCCTGCTCTCTGAGTTCCCCTTTGAAGCTACTTTCTTTGCCAGAGAACCGGCAGAGAAACAAAATCAGATTGGCAACTGAAACTCCACTCTCGAAAGTGTTTTATGAGCTGCTCTGATGGTACTGACATACTTCATTGTTTATGTAGGAACTGATCGGCTGTCAGTCAGGTAAAAAAAAAAACAACAAAACAAACAAACCAAATGAAGGTCAAGCATTGCTCTTTCTCTGTTGATCCAGAGAGAATACAATGCTAATTGTCAGCTTGTCTTTTTTGAAACTGTGTTTCATTATTCAATATGAACATTTTCTGTCTTGTTTTGGAGCTATTTTGCTGGATTCAGTATATATTTTGCCTGGGTAAAAACTACAGTATCTGTGTTCAAGTTCCAAACTTATGTGAATGTGTCCAAATTACTGTTTCAAACTAATTTAAACTGGTTGTATTTTAGTGCTACATTAAGACCACAATCTGAGTTGGCCATACTCCAAATTTTAACTGAATGGATGTACTGATGCATAGATGTCTCGTTCAACTCAGAATAATGAAAAAGAGTATTTTAGCAAGTTATGACTCAAAATTATGTCTACAAAATATTACCTTTTATTATATTTGGATTCTGCCCCCTGCCTATTAGTACACATAGACTTCTCTCCTAAGGCCTTGCAAGGTGATTGACTGACAGAAGGATATTAACCTGGCTCTGCCAGTAGTCCTTGATGAAAATCATGTTATGCCAACAAAGATGTTTATCAGTCAGCTCGCTGTCTGCTCATCTGATTTATATGCACATAAGCAAATATTATGTTTGCAGATAGCTGAAAGAGAAGAGTAGTATCTAATAGTCTGAAGTCACTAGAATCACACGTACGGATGGATCAGAGGGTTTAATTTTCATAGGAAGGAACCAAAGGTCAAAAGCCAACTTTGGCATTGGTTCACATAGGTTCTGGTTGTTAAAAAGATACTGGATGTTGCTTTTTGTCCTATGGCAAGAATAACTCTATTGCCTCTTCAATGAGCTAGGTCATACCCAGTCAGTAAATGACAGCTGGGAGCTGTGTCTTGAAGGACTTTGAGAAGTAACATTCTTTATGTTTCTTTTTCCTAGCGAGATTACGGTGGTCCTTTGGTTTGTGAACAAAACAGGCTGAAGATAGTAGTTGGTGTCATTGTTCCTGGCCGTGGATGTGCCATTAGAAATCGTCCTGGGATTTTTGTTCGGGTCTCATATTACTCCCGCTGGATACACAAGATTACGATGACCTACAGAAAAGCATGAAAAATAGCAACTTCCATTTAAAGAAAGTTTTTGGACAGATGGAATTAATGTGTAATATAAGGATCTACAATTTTTTAACTACTTGATAGGTTTGTTGAGCTTCATTTAATATTTATGGATGTTTTTGGTGTTTTTGTCTATCAGTGTTGTTTTATAAATGTTGGAGTGACTTACAGTATATGCAATTTTGGTGACATATCTCCTGAAGATACTTGAATGGGTAAACAATTTTGCAAAGATGTTATTACTGGATGATAAATGGTTTTGTAGAAATAGATCATATGACCTCTTTTATGCTGCTTTTCAGATTATCATAGAAGGAGAAAAAAATTATAGTTTTATTTAACACATCTTATTATTTCTATAAGCCATATATTTCTCTCCATATATGACAAAAGACCTACTGAGAGATATATGCATCTGTCACGGACAACATATAGGATCATATTTCTCTTCTCCCTCTATAAGAGGTCAAAGATTTCAATATTTCATAAAAAATAATCTCTTTAGAAATTAATCTTTTCATTTTTTATGGACTTTGGCAAGTCTGCCATAAGCAGAGTTCTCATAGAAGTCAGTATCTCTTAATTTTACACAGTGATTATAGACTAGTTCTGCACTTCCTTCAGTGTGTATGTGGTCCCTTAACAGGTATCTCAAAAAACCTTTTTGGATTTGGGAAGAGAGAGAAGTGGATTGGTTAGCAAATTATCGATCATTTGTTTAAAGTGAGTCCTAGAAATAACTGTGAATTTACAATGCTAAAGAGAATATTTCATACTGTTTGAAAAATAATCCTGATTAGTTACTGGCAGACTTTGCCTGTTAAAAGAAATTTCAATCAAATATGAACAAATCTTTTTCAACAGACAAGTGTTTAAAATTCAGTTGATTCTATGTATTTCATGAAAGTAACTCTGTATTTGCAGCAGAAAAAAAATAGTTGAACATGGCACCTGGCTGAGAGACTTTATACTGGTAAAACTAAGTTATACTTCAATAGTCTTTCAGAGGCTTGAGATCTTTATAATAAAACCTTACCTAGATTTGGACAAAATTATATCCTTTGTATAATTCTTTCAGGGTATTAAAATTATTGCAGAGATTGGTATGATCTTGTATGTAATATGGAAAACATCACCAATAGTTTTGTGGCTTTTTTTTTCTGCCGGTATGTAGAACCATCATTTCCCTTTCTGTTGACGGGGAAGGAGAACAAATAATCAGCATCTATGAAAAGTGCTTGTTCTCCCTTAGGTATTTAGTTGTATGGCTGGAAGTATTATAAAAATGTTGTTATAGGTGGCACCAGTTACCCTGTAATCTCTGAAAAAATGATATATATCCAATTGTTAGTTTTACTACTGTACATGTAATTGCATAAGTAACTGCACTGTTACTTCACTTGCAACTATGTAATTGTAAAGGTTTCCAGTAGAAAATTGTATGGTATGTGTATCTTATCTAACTGCATAGCTATTAAGCTGACATCATGGTGTAGACATGTATACATACAAGGACATTTCATTCAGAAGGTGTAAAATTGAGTTATGCCCTGGCAGAAAGTAACCACTTCAGGGGAGCTGTCTTGGGCAGCAGCCCTCCCGTTGACTCACCAAATTATTTTCTTTAGCAGTGCACTTTGACTTCAGTAGGACTCAAATACGCTTACATCTCCTGGTGGACTGGGATGAGTTTCAGCTCATGCTTAAGTGGCTTGGCTTGCTGAGATTTGTGTCAAGCATCCAGCAGATTCTACTGGCACATAGGAAGAAGTCTTTCAGCAAGCAGAGCTTCTGAAATTCCTCCTGATGTAAATAGTCTCTTTGAACAAGATGTGACTTCTCTGAGGTTGTGGATGCTACGCAGATAGTTCATCTCGAGCTATTCTGATTGCCTCTGAAGGCTTTCTCGTCCTTTTGGGCTCCATTATTTACCAAGCCTAAAGAGGGCAGGACTTAGCTTGTTGTATTTACAGTTAATTATTGCCGTGTATGTGAACAGTGTATTTCTTGCTAAGTATATACTGACTATATCTTATTGAAAGGATTAACTCTTTGAGACAAACTTTTAAAAAAACTCCAAGTGAGTTTTATTTTCAGTCAGAAGTAGAATGTGGATAAAATATATAATTCCATGTTCACTCTTTGTATTCTCAGAATTGTTATGTGCTCACTGTATTATATTTGCAGGCATTTTGTTATGTCTATCTAAAAAACAAAAATTGAATCCTAAAATATTTTAGTTATAAGCTTCTGCTGTGCAGAAGACTGTGATTTTTATATATATATATACACACACACACATATATATATGATAAAAATACTGTTTTTTGTTAGACAACGTGTAAGGATTTTTACCTGTTTGTTCTGGGCAGCACCTCAGTAAAACAAATTGTGCAGAGCTGATGCTCCAGAACTTAACATGTTTGTATACACTTGCTTCTCAGGTGCTCTTGCTTTCTCTCCGTATGGGGGGTATGTGAGACTCTGAAGAGCAAGAGAAGAGAAGAATAATGATACGTGGTAATGAATTTGTACTTCATTTATTCCTGTGAATATTTCTTGTTGGTACCAATGGTACCGAACCAGGCAACTGTTATAACTACAGGATTCTCTTAAGAAAGGCCATGCTATTGATATATTTTTCACTGTTCTAACATTTTTCTCTCTGTAATAACAAGGGAATTTGATCTAGTGCCCATCTAAATTGTTGGAAACCCTCTTACTAACTTCAGTGGGATCCGGACTTTACTTTGTAGATGTGATTTTGTAAGTAATAGAATTAAAGGGTGAAGAACTTAAATTCTTATCTAAGGACATTCTTAAAATACATTGAATTTCATCATCATTCTCCTTTCTGCAACTAATACTTGGTCTCTGAAAAGTATAATAACTGGTTACAAAATTTTGGAATTAAAACCTAAAAGCTGATTTTGTACCACTGAAGTTAGTTTGACTTAATTACTGATTTTCTTTGGGCATTGGAACTGGCTGACACTTCTTCCTTTCATTAGCAAAAACTTTTTTTCCCCTAAAAGATCTTTTTCCCTATCACTTTTTCTGTCATAAACCTCATGACCCCCAGAGAAACTTAGCTCTCATTGGGAATGTACTGGTCTAGATTTTTGCTGCTATTGCTGAAATCTTTTTTCTCTAGTTTAAGATTAAAATTCTCTGAGATATTCTGCAAAATCCTGCTGCAGATAATGCCAATATACTTGACAGAGCTATTCTCTAGAGTTAGAGCTTTTCAGATGAGGGTCCAAATATATCTTGGAGGGTCAAAATCAACTCAGGCAAAATATCCCTTGAAATCAGTGAATGTGATTGTCAAAAGACCGGGGGCTGAAAGTTGCTTAGTGGGCTTGCACTGAACTACACGCATCCTTGTACACCGAAAAGCACACAGGTTCTCAACTCCACAACAACCACAACAGGAGGGGGTGAGACTTTATCACCAACCTTCTGGAAGGCTGGTTGAAAACCAATTGACTCCCGTGGAACCTGTATAAAACCTATTCGATTGGTTCTTTAGCATTTTTTCCTTAGCAATTGTTTTCTTCCTCCCTCATGTGCACTGGTATATTATTGTTTTATGAACGTTAGGGCTGCTGGCAGGAACTAACATGACTTTTCACTCTAAAATTTTACAGTGTTCCTTTTTAAACATAATCTTGGGCATTTATATATGGTGTTCCCTTACATGGGATCTAACTTCAGGGAGCTGCCTGTGGAATTCAGTGTATGATAAGAGTATTTTTTCATATTTAAGTGGGAAAAATAATGCTCCTATTAAATACAACTAGCTGAATGCCTAATGAAAAGGGAACACTGTGGTTATAACTTGTATTATAAATCTTCTGTAATTAACAGCATCTTCATTAGTTAATAAAGTTGGTATTTTTGTAACCTTGCTTACTCTTATTATTCTTAATAAAGTATTTTATAAAAAAACAACAACATAATTAGCATTATATTTCTTATTTAAAGAAGGAGGTTTGGAACCCCATTGCTAGGCAGAGCCTTAGAAAAATGAGTGGCTCCCAGTTCTAATTTCAGTGAGGGATTTCAGTGTGTAGCATAACAGGACTGGTATTTTAAATATCTTCATGTGTCCAACAGTAGAATTGCACTTAAAATGAAAGATACAGCCAAATTCAGGTTATGATACTGCTGAGTCTCCTCAGGAGCATCCTGCTGGAATTCTGCACTGAGAATGGCCTACGCATATTATACAGAGAGTATTTTTGCAGTGGAAAGGCTGTGCTTAACCCCAAACATGAGAATTTGCCAAGGAGTTTGTAGTTCCTTACAATTTCAGTATGAGAGGCTTGGAATTTTAAGTGTTTCTTTTAATATACATTACAGTTCAGGAAAGGGCTTCCCTCACTGTGTCACTTAGTACTACTGGTGGTACATAAGACAGTGCAAAGGAGACCACAAATCTAGGTGCTGCTTCTGCATTTAATACCAAAACCAGCCAAAAGCAATAGCTAGCAAAAACAGAAACAAGCAACACCCTTACTAGCCCCATCAGATTTGTGCCCCTGTCCAGCCGAGTACTGTCAAGCTTCTATAGCATCACGGCATTCTGGTTCAGTAAGTTCAAATAAAGGACAGTAAGTTCATGGCTGCTTTTTCATTACCCAGCTGCAATGTCAAAGTTCTAAGCATTTCTGGTTATGCTGAAATTTTGATGATTTAAACATATATTTGCTGACAACTCTAGCTATATCAATAGTGAATCATTCTTCAAATAAAATCATGTGCAGAGTGTTTGAAGTCTGATTCTGAATTTTCCATGGTAAACATCACTTTCTTTTTGTTTGTAGTCCAAAAAAAGGATTTCCTAATTGATTCATAAAATCAGTGGATTTTATCGGGAACTTCTGAATCAATGGGAGATTTGCCAGTAACTTCAAACATACAGGAATGATTCCAAAGTTATAAAAATCTAGAAAAAAATCTATATATCAAACCCATATCTTGCTATTGTTTTACATTCAAAGTGTTATGGATGTTCAGGTGACCTGTCTACCTCCTGGGAGCTATAAGAATTTACT